GTGATACTGGCATGCCAACAGGAGAAAATCATGCACAACATGATTGCTGGGTTGCAATGTAAAATTGACAATCATTTCTAACAAAATGTACAATGTAAGTCTTATGGGAATCGATGATATAGTGCCAGCCACTATATCAAATTATATGAGTGCCTTCATGTAGCAAATCACTGAGTAGAAATAACTGAATTATACTTTTGAAGGTGTGCCTTATTTCAGGCTAAGGTTTGTCACAGTTTCCGAGATAGAAAAAAAAAATGCCTGCGATGTTCTTCAGCAAAAGACTAATTGATGGCATTCCCCATGGCCTTCATTACTGCTTTACAGCTTACTCACAGGGTACTCCTGCAAGCTGATGCAACCTATGACTAACATTTTCTGCCAGGTTACAGCGGAGAGATTACACAAACAAGGCATCTTCTGCCAAGGCAAGAACAGAAATCTGAAAAGGAATAAAGCTCTGCACAAATACTGAAGGTCAAGGTCATGGTACAACAACCGTGACTGAGAGCCCAATTTAGATGAGCGGCCACCGACAGGACCCAGCAAGAATTTTGCCTTTCTGATCTCAAACACTGATAGAGTACTTTTAGTCAGCACAAGAAACACAGAATTCTGGATGTGCTGAAGCCTATCTGGTACCATAGGAGATAGTACCCAATAAGTAGTTTAATTTTGATGAGACAAAAGCATCATAGATATTTCCAGAGCAAGGGTCTTAGAAGACAGAAGAAACATACACTTGAGACATTCCTTGCATTATCTTGAAATTTAAAACACAAAGTGAAAAATAACACCAAGTTTTTTAACTTACATCAAGGTTTGATTTCAACACCACAAACAAAAGCTGAAGTCACCAACTTTCCAGAGCTAGGAGTTTTCCAGCCTTAGGAGTTTATAAGCATAGTCTCAGTCTTGTCACAGTTCAGTTTAAGAAAGTTCTGTAATAGATCTCTGACTTCCCTTGTTTTTAATTAACTTAACTTCATATCTCCATATGCTTAACAAAAACAATTGTTATATTTCATCTCTTTGAGATCCATTGACAAAATTCAATTTAGGTTGGGGGCTCTCATTGTGGGGATTTTATGACATTTATGTATACTGTGAGAACTGGTCATGTAGTAGAGTATCATATATTAGAAATTATGATTAACCATTAATACAATTAAAAGGAGCATAATATAGTCAAACTGCAGATTGAGAGCACTTACAGTTAATTCTGTTATATTAAGGCATGTAATTAAAATGTTCTGAATTAAGAACTGGAGTTATAAATCTGAAGAATATTAACTCATCAAGATTAGTAATCATTTCATTTTTACACCATTCACATATTTAAAACCCGCACAGGGGTTTGGATACACACAACATTGTAATACCATTGCCTGCTTAGTTACAACAAACTCATACCAGCATGCCATCAGAATGTCAGGTATTTGTTTAAAGGTGACTGGCGTTGTGCAAGTGTGGGCAAATCCTGACATGCAGTGTGATTCACATTCTGCTTGAACAGGGCACAGCACTGGCTGAAATTCATCACCACATCATGGCATTGAATGGACGCCTTGGATACTTGCTTTGGATCTTTGAGTTTTACATGTTTTGTGGAATTCCCATTGTGCGCACATCGTGAATAAAGGAAGAAAAATCATCTTGCTGCTGTGTCCGGTCTGGTTTGCTTTGGGCTGTCCTAACACCCTGCCTTTTACAACAGTTTTTGGTGATCCTCCAACTTTTGACATCATCTTCAAACTGTGCTAGTTTTCAAATGTACCAGTAACTACAGTAATATAAGTTAAGAAGCCCAGTGGTCCTAATACAGATCCTTGTGGTACACCAGTCTGAGAATTCACCCCATATCTGCACTCGAGTTTCTTTCCATTAATTCGCTTTCAATCCAAATAGATGTTTTACTTTGATCACATACCACAAGCAAATAAAGGATTAATATTTTATGAATAACTTCATCAAAAGCCTTCTGAATTTTTTTAAAGTATGTCATAATTGCAGCTGCTTGTTTAAAGAATTCTAACAAGTTAGTTAAGCAAGAATGACCTTTTTCTAACCCATGATGATTTGTCACCTACAATCATATTGTTCTATTTTAATTGTTCTAGTTTAATTCTTAACTATGGAAAGCACTATTTTCATAACCTTACATGTATTATAATAAAAACATAATTACATCATTTTGTTTAGGTTTATTGCCCTTTTTATGGGTGAGTGCTACATTAAAATGTTTTCACTCAATAGGTGTCCAGAGTGATGGTTCTATATGGTCTATAAATAACTTTGTTTCCTTAAATACAAACTGAACTGGATACCACCAAGCCCTGGCTTTCAATACCTGTAACATATCAGTTTCTTCTGTGCTAATATGGACAATATAACATTGACCTTGGAAAACACCTGACCAAATCATTCATTTATTTATTGTTCTGTGATGTTTACGTATTAAAAATTATTTTAGCCACAAAAATAGTTTTCTCGAACTTTCAAGTACCATATTTATTAGTTAATGATATACTCCAATGCACATCATAACTGACACATGGCTTTTTTTTACCATGCAGGGGCTCTCTCTTTAGGTATAAACTAAGCACTCATTAGCCATGTTTGCAGCTTCAGCTTTAGTGTTTAACAGTCCTAATAGTATGTTCCAGTTTGTGTGAGAAAAGTTAAACTCTCCCATGATAACCACCTTTTCCTTTCTTCATACGTGTACAATTTCAAAACCAGAAGCCCTAGTTCTAATTCATATTTGAATTTGGTCTGATACTGATATAAAGTAAATGACATTTTGGTAGTCTGTAACATAGTGTCCTCCTAAAACAATGCCCACAATGTTTTTTGCGAGTCTGACTCATAGTTTAGATACTCTTTTGGACATAGAATGCTTCATTACCCCCTTCCATCTTTCCTTTCTTTGGAATGCTGCAAATCCAGTAAAGTTGTATTCTACACCAACACTCTGTTAGCTTCAAAGCTCTTCATGTTTCCCTAATGCTTTTCTCACTATTAGGGTGTATTTCATTGTCATCAACACTAATGCAGTAGCTTCTATTTCTTGCATTTTATCCCTAATATGCTTGACATTAAGGTTTAATCACTTAATTACCTTTTCTATAATACATTTTATTTGCCTTTTAGGTTCTCTTTGACTCTATACCTGGCCTTTTTCCCATCCAAATTTTCTTTGAATTCTTCCCCTTTCCAGACATTTTGCAACCAAGAGAGGAGTGCAGCAGAGAGATGCTGTAAGTGTGTACTCCAAAAAAATATATTTTTGTCAAGAGAGGATACATGCTTCAACTGGTTTGGAGCCTGTGGAAAGTGATGTGTACCATGTGCTTAGTATTGGTAATACCTGCAATCATACGTGAAGAAACGCATTTCCGTGTGAACTGGTTACCTTGCTTATTGAATTGCAGCCTTCGCCAGAGCACCTTTGTTGGCACTGCTCTATGGGAAAAAGCAAAAGCCATGAGCCCAAAAGCAAAGCCATGAACTGTACAAAAAGATAAAATAAATACATTTAGAATACCTTTTCTTATTTTTTCTAACAATACTGTGGAAAAGTAACATTTAGTAATTCCTAAACTTCACTTGCTTGCTGTTAAAATAATACTGAGTCTGTGAAAGTCTTTAATACTGACAGAAATTTTGTTTTGGGGGCATGCTTCTCCTCCTATGGCATTGGAAAACAATTTAAGCAAAATCACTCAACAACCCCAAACAAGCAGCTGTGATAATAACATGAGCGACTGATGTAAATGCTTGAGGTCTTGCACTAGTTACTTAGAAATCTAGTGTCCCTCATAAAAATTAAATGAGGTTCAACTTGTCTTTGGCTTTAAGATGATTTTAAGATTTTAAGATGATTTTTATCATGAGGTTAATGATCGATTACTTGATTTAAGAAGTGCAGAGAAGGTGTAAAATGGAAAGAAATGGTTTAATAAAATTTGAATTAACTGAAAAACTAAATTGCTTGCCCATTATTTACATAGTCTTGAGACTATATGCCGGAAATTCAGCACACCTAATGTAGAATGGCAAGTTGTTAATAATATACAAGAGTTAAAGTGGTAAAGATTTTATATTTTGAAATATCTTCACTCCCATCGATGGTTAAAGGCTTTCCAAAACCAAGAAAAAATAAATCCACAAGAGGGCAGTATTTACTTATATGCGTTGAATAATTCCTTTTCAGAAGTACGGGCTTTAACAAATTGCCTAATCTGTGGATTTATACATTTGTTGCAAGGAAACAAATAATTTGAACTGGATTGGAAAGTATTCTGGAAACCGAAAATAACGCCTATAGAAAGTAATCACTCTCAAACCTTTCACCTAGAAACCTTACAGAAAGCTTAGGGCGAGGTCTCACGATTATGGGCGACAGGTTTATTTTTCCCGTTTATGGTCGCTGCTTGCTCTTTTACCATTTGCTAGTTCAGCTTTTAAAACTTTTAAAATTTTGCCACAGAAAAGGTACGGATCTTAAGCTGAAAGGAAAGCAGGAAACCAAAAATAAATTATGAAAAATTCAAGCTCCTATTATAAAATGTGTTTATTTGACTCGAAGCTCATGCCTCATGTAAATACTGCGAAATCACGAAAGTGATTCCTTTTATTTTTCCGTGTCTGTGCTAAGTTTGATGCTATGATTATACTGGACGTATAGCTTCTGTACTTTGCTATTTTTTTTCCTAATAAGACAACACGTATTACTTTTTACTGCCCTGTCTTGAAATTAAACGTGTCAATGGTCATCTTCAGCTGACTTTCCCGAATTCCCTTTCCATTGCACTGATAAAACTGCAGACGACGAGTTGCATCATAGTGACTTGCAGGGTTGTAAAAGGAGTTTTTATTTTAATCATTTTTTACCTGACGAATTCAGTGGGGAACCGTGAAGAGGAGGAATGGGTTCCTTCCTAAAGCCTGCAGTAAAGTGTTACAGGTCAAGACTGAATGACAAGGATGACACAAAATGTTTGCATTCATGTAATTTATTTGGTAATACTTCAACCCACCTTACATTTAATCTTTTTCCTCTTAGCAACTCGTACCCCAGACCATCTTTCACTTTTTTTTTCTTTCTCAGTGACACTTGCCAAAACATGCACAAATGTCCTTACCCTCACGAAAAACTGTCCAATTTTCCCATCATCTTTCTCTTTCTTTTGATCAGTTCCTCCAGTTACTCAATAGTGACACTTGCAAACCCTCCACTTGCTTCCCTAACATTTACCCAACAATCAAGAGAAAACAAGACATTGTGTAAAAACTATAAATAAACTTACTAAAAGGATAAAGTTAAACAATGCTTTAAAAATGAATAAAGGCATATATTTTGGATCATTTATTGTGATTACCACACCAAATTGATTCCTGTAACGCTTGTGACCTTTATACAAAAAAGACAAACATTGGGTCAAAAAAAGTAAACTCACACTTGAGGTTACAAGTAACAGAACACAAATTTTTGGCAATAACTTAGCAGTCATATTTTGTGCTGTCATGGGACAGTCCAGTGACTAAGGCTGCACTGCAGAATACACGGATGGCACAAACAGCTACAGTATTTAATTACATTGTAATAATCTCTGCTCGCCTTTCAATACGAAAAGTTAGATGTGGGAACTATGACATTATTACAAACTAAGCTACAACATACTGCCCTCTCACGGGCTTTTATGACTCATTGTTTAGTCTAACATACAGAGTTTTCACTTCAGGACACAGCTCATTCCATGGCTTTTCGTGTCCTTTTCTGTTGTAACTTTATTATAAAGCACTTCCACACACTGAGACATTCTTGGGGCCCGTGGAAATGGAGAAACGTACGTGACACATTTATTTTGGTTTCTGTCTTCAGCAGGTCTGATGAGGCAGTCGGGTTTTGTCAAAAGAGTTGAACATTCTATGAAAATGCATCAGTGAATGAGGTCGAATCATTTGGAAGATATCTCCACAGTGTTTTACTCTGATGCAGCTTTGGATTTACGATACTGGCTCCTTTGGGAATATTAAACAGCTTTTGTTCAAATACCTTCTCCCCGTTATTTCCATTGGCACAAGCTGCAGTGCAGCGCACAGCCCTGAGTTGCCTCAGCTATGTCCATGCACACCACTGAGGACAGAACAGACTGAGAACAGTGTTACCTGGTTAAACCTCCAAAGGGCAGCCCAATAATTATATTCGAAGAAAAAACACCAAATTCTTTCTTAAAAAAATATTTGTGCACCACAGTACTGAGACATAATAATATATCTGTCAAGCTTAAAAGTTTTCAGTAATTTTCTTAAGTCCATCCACTTGTTGGCTTTAAGGACTAGCTTGAAGAGTCAGTTTCTTTCCTCCTGCCCTCATCCTGAGTTCCATCAAAACTTCTTGTTCTGTCATATCCATCTTGCTTCCATTCTACGCACATACACGCCTCTCTGCAACCTGAGCACCTTGCAGTAGGGGACATCAAACATGTTTGACATGGGGCTGACTGGGCCAGATCTTTCGACCCCTCACTAGTCAGGTCCCAAATCCCGACTTGCAATCGGAGCTGAAAAACAGAGCGAGTTTCATGGGCTGAACCGAGACCACAACTCGAAAACTACACTGATGCAGTGCTACAAGTGTCAAGTGTCTGGACCCCTCGCTCTCTCATCCCCCTCACCTCGAGCAACAACATCGCCAGCATGATTTTAAACTGACACCCCTTCACAAGAATCACACTGCTTGGCTCTTTCCACATCACTTTGGTCACCCCCTCTTACTTGCCGAACTCCCTACTCTGCCAGCTACAGCGAACGATACAGCACTGTCCTTCACAAACATGTCCCCTGAACATCTCGGCCTCATCTGCTACTGGTTATGTCAATATTCCCACAAATCCTCTCCCGATTGTCAGAAAACATTCTCCTGTACATTCTCTAGACATTATGTAGAGATGCTACAGGTTCACGCATATCCATGTGTTTTCCCACAGTGAGTGAGCAGTAGTACTGTCAGGCAGCTGTACCCTCAGAGCCTGCCAGGACCCTGTGGCTTCCTTGAGAGTGAGGGGTCCTAGTGTTGAACTGAGCTCTTCCTTCCAAGAATGCAGTGGCCAGAGGTGGGGAGTCCCACCCAGAGAGAGAGAACGACAAGAGAGAAAGGCAAATAAAAACAAATTCTGGAGAGCCAGGGGTCACCATCGCCTGCTCCTCCTCTGGACAGGGGTAGGTCCCAACACAGACAACACCACAGTCTTATTTTTCGAAAAACACAGGAGAGGTGAGAGAAACGGCACGGATGCCAGCAAAAAAAAAAAACGAAAAAAGAAAACGGGAACAAAAAAAGAAAAAGAAGTGCTTTTCATAAACTGCAGCGAGGTTCCAATACTGTACAGGTAAGACGCAGGGCGGCGTCCTTGGCTCACACTTCCAGGGCTCTACTGCAGTCCGTATGCTCCATCTGCGGGCACTCAGCGCTGACCTCGCTGGTGTCCATGCTACAGTCCGAGGACTCGCTATCGCTCTGGTCCATGCGCTCCAGCCGGGGGGTGTCCCGCGTGGGGGACGGCGGCGCCTGGGGGTCCGGGTCACCCCCAACCCCGCACGACGCTCCCTTGGCCTGTCGGAGGCAGTTGAGCCACTGCTGCTTGTTGAAAGTGTCGCTGGCCTGGAAGGAGTAGGACAGGACCTGGGACCCACCGCGACACGTCACGCGGAAGAAGTTCTTGGCTGCAAGGGAAAAGGGCAGGGGGTTAAAATTGTCAGGATGTGTCCACGAGGGACAAGAGACTCGAGCATCTCCAAACTCCCACCTTTGGACAGCAGGGATCAAAAGCAGGTGCGTTTGGTGTCCCAATCGATGACGTGAAAAAAATAGGTCTAGTTCAAGGCTCTAAGCCTCGATTACCACAACACAATACGTACGTGTATGGTTGGAATACTTCAAACTCAAAACATATGTTTAGGGCTGCCTATATGTAATAATTCTTGACATAGAACAAATATAACATTCTAAGTAGATTGCAGGTTCATGTGCTTTTTAAATGTGGTGAAAGGGTTACTAGCATTTTAGGATTAGGCAAGTCAACTACCATACTGAGATCTTACTGATTAAATGCTCAAATTACAAAATGCAAAAACCTAAAGTGATGGATGGACCTGCGGCAATCTCTGACCCCAATCAACACCTCTGTCAGCAGGAAGACTTTCAGAGGCGCTTTCTGGGGAATACTTGTTTGTTTTGTAACTAGCGTCCCGAAAGAGGAGAAGAGTTTTGTCTCTTTTCTCCTTTTAGGAGAGAACAGGATTGAGCGTTTTAGCTCTGGAGCTTCGGCAAAGTTCTGAGAAATGCTTGATCAGCCACGTGAGTATCCTATATAGGGGTCTCTCTTAAGGAGAGCAACGGTAGCTAATGATTTTCTCCCTATATTTCCACGCGTCTGTCAGATACCTGAGGATTGAGCAAGGTTTCATGGCTTGTGGACGCCCTCATGTGGTGGTCAGTGGATATTGCGTATGAGAGACAGTCGGCTGTACCACACCTATAATAACGTTACTCTAGTGTGCTCACTACTACCTACAAGCCTCTCCTATTCAATACTATGCGAGCCATCCAGCCAATCCCAGATGGGAATACTCACTCCTCTCATTGTTACTGAAGGCGCCACGGATGGATCCACCCAATCGAACTTCGCCGTCTTGAAGGTCCTCCCACTGCAGGTCCTTGACAGGGATGGGCTGGCGGTAGAGCTGGTAGCACAGTTGTTCGTTGTGCGTGACGGCCCGCGTGATGACCAGCACGTCTTGGAACAGGAACACGTGCAGTTTCTGCGGGGGAAGCACAGCGGGGTCTCTTACTGAACACAAACACTGACAAATCTGAACACATTAAAGGCGATTTTCGACAGGACAAAGTATGCAGATTTATCTACATGGCAAAAAGAAAACAACAAGCAATGACTATTTCTATTTTAGGATCAAGTAAAGGTTTATTCCACACTGAAAAGAGAAAAAACAACACTTCGAAATGTTGTATTTCTTTTTTTGCTTTTCAGCATGGAATAAGCTTTTACTTGTTCCTTTGCAGCCTACGCCTGCTTGACGCAGCTACCTACTTGAGATATTTCTATTTTACTTGACCAATGCAAGTAACTGTTACATACAACTCTACAGCAAATTGACACAGTGTGGTAATACATAAGTGTTACTTTTATGGTGTTATCGTCAATTAAATCTGGTATACATGACTGAATAGTTTCTGTTTGTTTGGAGGTAAAAGCCTAGTAACAAAATAAACTTGTCCTGAATTTCATTGCTCAAGTTGTTTACTATCACTTGACTACATGGGCATAATATTTACTCAATCTTCTGATTACAAGGCTGGTGTTGGAGTGAGAGGTAACATGCAGTAATCTGGCAGTATAACGTTACATTTACAAGATTTAACACTGGTTAACATGGTCACGGATGAGAGGGAGAGGAGTGAGGAAAACGCCAAGATCTTTTGTAATGGAAATGTTCCACACTGGTGAGATGCTCACAGACTCCCAGACTCAAGGATAAACACGCACCCTTAAGATCTGACTGGGAACATGTAACTACTGATCCTCCCTTTCTCACATTAACCAAACAAGCACTGAGGTCTTCTTATCATGTCATGTATGTCCTACAGCAAAGTAAAACGAATATAACCCATCTGCTAAGCAAACGGCCCATTTCAGCACAGACGTTTCAAACTGTAAACCAAGCTTCATGAAATCAAAGCAATTTCAAAAAGAAAAAAAATTACATTACTACTGTGCACTTTATGGTGAGCGGTGATGGAGATCACACAGAACAATGGTGCTGTCTAATGATTTTAGAGAAACCAGCAAGGCAGCGTTGGAGTGAAGACCCAACAGAGCAGCACAAATAGGAATGGTCATCCACCCTGGAGGAAAGGGAGCTACAAAGAGAGAGGATCAAAGTGATCCTTCCTGCCTCGCTCCTCACTGACCTCAATTCCCCAAAGGTCAGTCCCGACTGGGCTTGGAGCTGTCTGATGTGGGAGAGGTACCAGCATCAAACACAGGACAGGCCCACAGAACGCCAACACTGACTGACAGCCACAGAGATTGAAAAGGACAGAGCTGCTTTGACACAGCCAAGTTAAGCCTTTGCCACTTGCTTCTCCCTCAAAGCCACCTCTGCTGTTCTGAGCAACTCTGCAAGGTCACTGGACAAGAACAGAGGCTCTTCACAGTGAAAAATGAGAATGAAAAACAGAAACACCGGTAATCAGTTCGCATTTTGGTGCATTCCAGAGAATTTGTAGCTGATAATTGCACATTACAGATGCCATCATTTTGCTTCTTAAAGAATTACTCATTTTCTAGCCCGAAAGCTTTCTGTGCTCATTTCCCACCAGTCCTGCTATTTTAAAGTTCTAGGATTAACAGTCTTGCAAAAGGAATTTCCTGAAATGTCCTCAAAGATAATTAATCGGCTTGTACTGCAAGGATGGGATGAATATGATAGATAAAAATCTATACAACTATAACACTAATGAACACTTGAATACTGAACACTGACAAAAAGTTAAAATGTGTGTCACATAGCGCAAGCATAAAATGCACAGGCACCACTTACTGAAAATGTGTACACCACTCAGTGCTAAAAATGGACGTTTACCACATTATGTTGTATTAATACCTCTTAGAACACACATATACTGACACTTCTTAAACTCCAACTGCAAGACCGGAATTAGGTTTAACCTATGTTAATGTTATACAGAATAAAAAGGTATACAAATTCCTATGTTAAACATTTCGAACATATAGTCCATCTATTTTCTAACCGCTTTATCAAATACAAGTTCAAGGAAAAACCAGAGCCTATCCTGGCAGGCAAGGGGTGCAGGGCAGGATACACCATGGACAGGATGCCAGTCCATCAGACTCAAAACACTCACACCAGGCCCACTTTTTTCAGAAGCCAATGAGTCTACCAGTTTGTTTTTGGACTGTGAGAGGAAACCCGTGTGACACCCTGACTTTACATGACTTTTATTCAACCTTCCCAGTCAAGGTAACAGCACCCAATTACACTCCCCTCACACAAGGACTCTTTTCCATTTCAACCACAGAAGTCCTTCAATGTTAACCATCTTGTTTGAGCACATGGTTTCTGGCATTTATTTGGGGCTGGAAGCTCATACCATGTTAGAAAGCTCGTAAAAAAGCTACATGAAACAGACATGTTTCTGCTTAAATCTGGACCTGGCTGCCAGGAGAATTTTTCCCCAGGGAACTGAACCTTCCCACCGCTGTCAGCATTCCTCGCTCCTCTGGCCTGTCACTTTAAGCAAAATCTTGGCTGGCGGCAACCGCGTGCAGTTTGGTGCCAGCTCTCACACGTTGGAATATTACATAACCCCAGCGTGCTGACACGTTACTCCCATAAGTCTACCTCTGGGGCACAACCACAGGGAGTTCGTGCAAAACAGGAAGAAGTGTGCAAGCACAGGTATTTCTAAGTGTTGAATAACTTTAATGGCAAGAAAGCCACTGCCTCGTCTGCAGAGTACATTTTAATTCCTTTTCCCTTCACCAAGAGGTCACAAACAACACCGCAGTTATCCCAACAGCAAGTTTCATGGGACCCATTGGAGACCTGTGAAGTTTTGTTTTCTTGCTTTCAAAAACGGAACTGTCTGCTGAATGCCCTCCGTATGGAACTGCAGATTTAAGCCATCTTAATTTACCACTGCGAAAGCTCAAAACAGTATTGGGAGGATCCATACTGGTTTAACTGATCAGGGTTCCTGACTTGGGAAGTTTTAAAAACAGCTTACAGAGGGCAATTTAACACAATGCTTGTTTCGCTGCTAGTAGCTTACAGATCTAAGAATTCTCTCTATCCCTTTCTTAAATGATCCTACTTAGGTTGCCCCAACTAAATGGTCAACCAGGTCAAGCCAGCAGCCATATCACCCTGCAACTCACAACTGGCAACCCACTGAAGCTTAGCAGGTGTGAGCCTGGTCAGGTTGCTGCTGGAAGAGGTGTTAGTG